AGGCAGTTACTCTAGGAGAGATGGACAGGGCCATAGAAAGTCCTTAACCCATAAGTAGGACCAGTATATGCTTCTTTGTGCAAGGAGGAACAGGAAGAGCACTGTCAGAGCCCTACAGAATGACCTCCAGCAGGCCACTGGTGTGCATGTCTCTGAGCAAACAATCAGAAACAGACTTCATGAGGGTTCACCCTGAGCACATGTGACAGAAGTGAAAGGGTAACGCTTCAGTCTCAGCCTTGCATTCGCTGTGATAGCATAATGCATGTTTACACTAGCTGAATACCTATATTTAGACAGTAAAAATACATTGACAATGATAGACAGCAACAGTAATTATTATATAATAAAATACATTTTAAAATAAAGATTTTTTATTAATTATTTTAATATTAATAATAAACCATTAATACATTTAATTATAATAATATTGTCGTGCTGAGCGGGGACGGAACGGAGACAAAGGCACAGACGTCAGGGTATCGGGGAATACGGGGTTTAATTACAGGTAAGGCAGGCAAAACGCAGACGGACAATACAATGACCGAACTGGGGAAACAAACTGAAACGCGGACTAAATACAGAGGACTAATGACAACCATAAACAGCTGATTACATGGGGATTCCAGCGTTAACGAGGGGCACACGGAAGGAGCGGACTATCTGGGCAGGACACATTGTTTTTTTGAACTTTACACATTGTTTGGATACATTTATTTTCTTACTTTACAAATTACTGTTTTGATAAATGTGCTTAGATATGTTTAGTACAGTATATGCTCTTGTAGTATCCTGTTCATTTTGTGTTTAAATGCTAAGAAAAACATATTTAGGTGTAATTTTTTGGGGCCGGGAACCAATTAATTGGTTTTCCATTATTTTTTATGGGGAAAATTCGATCAGAACTCGAACTTTTTAGGATTCGATCCGGAGTTCTGAACGGATTAAGTTCGAGTTCTGAGGTACCACTGTATTTAATTTATGAATTCTGCCTTGGAATATTTCATGCTATTGAATGGCCTCTACATGTCACATCCCAGGTACGGAATTCCTTTTCACACTGGAGACTTCGGTTTGGGGATCCCCTGAGTCCTAGTAGCTGAATAAAACCGCTTTTAAGAATACAGCCTCTCACCATCTGAGCCTTTCCAACTGGCGCTGCAGTTAATTCTCCGTATAGAGCTAAAATGTTTCTCTTGTAATTATAGCCTAATTTTCAGCTGCTCTCCAAATGTGCTGCTGACCAGAATATGCTGTTTTGTTGTGTTGGTGTTTTTTTGCCTTATGTGTTTTGTGAACGAGCTGTGTGTAAAATGTGACCGCAGGGGGCAGGAACTCCCTCGGCATGGTTTCAAATTGCATTAGTCGAATTTACGACTTGTGGCGCCGTCCGCCGCGGAAATATGCGCTCCAGAAAAAAGCGAAGCGGAGGGGTTGCGTGGTGTCACATGGAATGGATTCACCAGCAGGGGGCGCAGCAATTGTAGATCTTACAAACTGCCAGAAATATAGCATTCGCCGACCACACGTCAGGAGATTTTTTTCTTGAGAGAAGAGGGTGTGGACGTCGGCAGTTTTACTATCCTCTGCCTGAATCCTTTTTTTGTGGGGATTTAAAGAGAAAGGGACGCAATCCAGCAGGTAAATCCATGCGATTCTGTCGCGCCCCGTCTTGTTGATTGGTTGATCGTTTCTTCGCTCTTCTGGCTGATATTTTCATACATGAACTTTCACGGTCGTCCGCGCCAGATGAAGGGAATGAGCACGGATAGTCCAATAACCTCATCCGAGAAACCCTACATCTGGACATTACGAGATATTCTTACACACATTGGTATAGGTTTATTAGACGTAGTTGATATGAACCAAACAACGACGTTTATTTTGATTGAAAGTTCCAGTTTTTTTTATTGATAAAAGATCAGTAATTCTAAAAAAAACTCGGTTTTGGACCTAAAGCGGAACCCACCGGCACTTGATGGAGTTTTTCTGTGAAGAAGGAACTTTTTGCCCTGCTCGCTTTCCTGCTCCTTTGCTCTGAAAGCTGGGATGCAGCGACGCCGCTTTTCCAAGTGCTGCTGGATTTCTGTGGGCATCTAACTTATTTGGGGAGAAAACAAAAGTAATGTAACATTCGAAGTCGTGTTTTTCAACATCACGTGACATTTATAGTGAGAAGTTCATTATACTTACGGTTTGACTATACATCCTATTGATTTCATGCTTGCTGTAGTTAACCTGAGGTGATTATATATGCATATATATTTTAAGTAGTTTAGAATTGTATGTGTTTGATATACTTTTAGAGAGTACTTTAAGCTGAAAAATATATCAGTTCTTGCTCACTAAGCCCAACCTTTACTAATAAACTCCTTTCAAAATGTAGTTATGATTGGCTAATTCATTTTAAAAATTGCAAAGAATTTCAAGAAAAGTAGGCCTATGTGTTAGTATGAGTCTGACAAGTTTTACAAATTACTTTGTTTCCTGGTGTGCAGGGTTTTGCAGAGCTTGTGCAAATATGTAAATATATTTCCTGTCATTTTTATCTGTGATTTGATTAATAACTTGATGTGCACAGTGGTTTGGTGTTATCTTTGAATTTTACATTTTGCATTTTACAAATTGCATATGTTACCTAGAAAACACATTTTCTAAAGTTATTCGATTTTTGTAACCTCAGGTGAAGCATGAAGGGCTGTGGGCGTGTCCCTGAGGGAGGATTGTGGGCGTGCCCCCGATGGAGGGTTGTGGGCGTGTCCCTGATGGCGGGTTGTGGGCGTGTCCTTGTGGAGAGTGGGTGGAGCCAAACTCGGGGAAGGGATGGAGGCTCCGCCGGTCCCTCCAGCCCCGGTCATCCTTGGCGATGAAGCCTGCTTGTCAGGACAGCATTTCCCCCTGTTCCCTTTCCTTTCTTGGATGTTTCTGCAAGCCCCTGTGGGCTGCACATGTGCTCAGAGCCGCGGAATGTACCGGTGCTTGTTCGTTCCTGCCATGAGGCCGGCAGACTGGGAATCAGCTGTGTTTAGGTTGCCGTTTGAGGCTCTGAACAGCCTCCATTTTGTTTACTTACGATGACACTATTTTAAACAAACATGGGACCCACACATGTCTGCTGCCACCCTTTTGTCTGTGTTACAGGAGTGTGAGCAAGTGCAGAAAGAGCCCGTCCCACTGGTCTTCCCTTGTCCCCATCTGCCTCGCCTTCCCCTCTCCATCCTCGGTCTATGTTCCTTTTGAGGACGAATGCCCCCTGGAGGCTCTTTGGGTTCCTGGACCGGTCTTCTTCAGCTCTTAGTGCCCTAGTTCAGCAGCTCCTGAACATTAGTCCCCACCCGCGCCAGGATCATCAGGGTGACTAAGAGAGAGGGGCGACACGGGCAAAGACATGGACGACATCTTCACCCAATGCCGAGAGGGCAACGCCGTGGCCGTCCGCCTCTGGTTGGACAACACGGAGAATGACCTTAATCAGGGGTGAGTGGGCCTTCGGGGGGGTGGGGGGTCGCATGATCTAGGTTGTGAAGGTGGTGATGCTGGCTGTGGTCAGGCAAAGCTTTATGACTCCTCATGTGTCACTGGTACTGTTGGGATGGCGTGGGTGTTCTGTCGGCGAACCTGAATCAGCATAACTGAGCTGAGTCGTGGGTGGGTGGGAGGGGAGCGTAGTAGCTATGGCCATTTGGGAAGTGCGGCAGTGGGGGGGGGCGAGGAATCATGATTCCATCTCATATGGATGAATTCACCTTCTGTACCTAATAGCAGTGTTTTTATACCCTTTCAGAAGAGAGTACCAGTTTGTACCTTTACTTGTCACTGGGGCTGTTCCCTCAAGGGTCTGCTAATTTGCTAATTATACCCTAGCTGTAGGTAAATGTACCTTTTCATCTAATTTAAGGTACAGAAATGGACTCTCAGGAACACTTTTGTACCATTTGGGGTACATTAATGTTGTTTGTACCTTGGGGATCTTTCTTATTTCTGTACCTTAAATTAGACTAAAAGGTATATTTACCTATCAGCTAGGGTACAACTGGCAAACTCTTTAGGGTACAGCCCAGTGACAAGCACAAGTACAAATTGCTACTTTTTCCTTCTGACAGGGTCAGGAGTTATTTTTTACGAGAATGTCGGAAAACCACGGAACTGGATGACTGTTTCTCTTTTTTCAGTTTCTGTGGAGCTGACTTGAGTCCATGTTGCTATTATTGTACAAGTTATGTCATGTGAACATGAGCTGCTATGGTGTCATTCTGTAGTGCTGGGTGGGGCTGGGGGGTGGTGGTGATGACAGGGGTGTAGGGGAAGCTAAATAATTTCTGGCTTGAACCGCAACAGCGAAGGATGCGCGGTGTGTTGCTGAAGTCTGCCGGCCGGAATGCGGCTGTTTCAGGTTAGGTTGTGATCCCGGTCCCACCAGGGGTGTGTGCTGCTGTAGACCCCGGCACACTTTGCTCCTGTCCTCCATGCTGGCAGAGACATGTGTCACTGGTGGGGGGGCTGGATTAGGTGTTGTGGAGGGATTGGAACTAAAACACGCCGCATCCAGTCGGCGGACGTGATGACCTCATTCGCAGAGCCCGCATGTTCCTTCAGAGTTTCCGCTGAAGGCTGCCAGGCTGCTACGCTCTGCAGAACCTCTGTGGCTAATTGGGCCCAGACGGACGTTCCGCCCCCCACCACCCACCTACCTCTACTGGCTGCTGTTCCTTTATAAGTGTTTCCCAACCCGGTCCCCAGACAGCCCACATTTTTGCTCCCTCCCTGCTCCCAGCCAATCAAGAACATCAAATACCAGATACAGGTGTGCTGGGAGGGAGCAAAAATGTGGGCTGGCTGGGGGTCCCCGAGGACTGGGTCGAGAGACACTGTTTTATAAGATGTCTCTTGGAGCTCGTCCTTCTCCGGTGGGGGGTCGTGAGATGTGCTCCGTGAGAACAGGAAAGGGAGGAGAATATGTGGGATGCAGGAAGAAAAGCCAGGGGAATGGGAATACTGTGCCAAAGGCCGCGGCCTCGGTGCCAGCAGACACAAGATCCCAGTGTCTTCCTGGAATGGCTGCGCGTTCCGAAGCTCCAGCTGGTTTTGGATTCATCTGGTTACTTTGGGAGGAACGGATGCTGGGGTGTTTTTCCTAGACTGAAGGGTGTTCTGGATTCTCTTCTTGGGTGGGGGTTCTGTTCCATTACCGCTTTCATTGGTTGGATGGTTTTCACCACAAGTACGGTAGAGTGTTGGGTGGACTTGGATCTAAATGCCCCCCCCCCCAGCCCCCATAGTTTTGCTTCCAGCTGGGCTGAAGTGCCCATGGTTGGGGTTGCCATGCGAGTGACCACGAGGATCCGATCTGGCTGTTCGCCCCCTCCCTCTGCACTTTGATGGATCTGGGTTCCCCTGAATCTCAGCGGATGTGCGTCAGAATGTTAATCAGCTCATTTGCTAGTCTGCACTCCCCCTCTAGCAGCATCGTCCAATAGCAGGCCCTTCTTTACCAGATTAAGGAGTCCTGATTGGCCCTGATTTTATGAAGAGTAAAAAAATGGCTTTGAATTGGCTAGTGTTACTTGCCCATCCCCCAGGAACTAGAAGGTGGAGCCTTTACCAGCATCCACCCATTGAAGAGGATACAGATAACCAACACGCCTTTAATTTGTTGAATTGATTGTGACTGTGTGTGGAAGAGCTGGTCTGTGTTTTTGATTGTGCCTTGAGATTAAGCAGTTTGGTGTAACTCCTCAGCTCCTTAAAAGCCCCCCCCCCTCCCCCAGGAATGAATCTTTAAACAGTTAGCATCATATGCCAGTTTAAAAAAGACATCAGTGGCTCTTGCTCCCGTTTGTCCTCCTGCCAGTGATGGGCAGCCGATCAGCTGCCTGACTGGATGAAATGCCCAAGGCTGGCGGCTCAGTCTGTCAGGCCTAGAATCCGCACTCTGGGAAACAGGAGCTCAGAAGTGATGAGAATCTCAAAGAGCCTCGTCTCTGGAAGCGGGAATAGATACACACATTTTTCTCTTCCCCTCTGGGAAACTGTAGTTTCCATGACAGGTTTCTCCTCCAAAGTCTATGGTGTCCTGTTTACTGTCATGAAATATGTTTAGAGTCGACTCATTGAGTCCAGCCAATTGGGGCTGTTCACACGCCAGCCAATAGTGGCTGTTCCCCAGCCTGTTATTGAAGGGTGTGCGCGCACACATCTCTGTGTGTGGTCCCAGTGGTCAATGCCCTGCAGTTCTGTTAGGTTGTCTGGGTGTGTGAAATCTTATCCTTAACGTGCTGTTTAAGACGGCCATACCTAGTGTCCGTCTTTGTCGATCTGTGGTTCTTATTCTGGGGGACAGCAAGAACGGTACCAGTTTGCATGAGAAAATTGACAGTGATAGAAGGAATACTAATGGAAGGACTAATGCTAATATGGTCTTAGCTGTCGTAGCAGAATTATATAGTAGGAGATTCCATCGACGTTACTCGCAGGGGCGTTGGGCCTTGTTAGCTTCATTGGCACGAAGCTGTGCCATCCCTAGGGGTTGGACACATTAGCCACTGTAGTGCTAGCAGAGCGGAAGTGGTGGAACCGTAGAATCACAACAATGAGTATAAATACCGCGTGGTGAGAGCAAGGGGGTCGCCCAGGGGCCACCCGGGGGGCCGAGGCCCTCCTTGTTTGGTGAGACCAGCATGCTGTTTATATTTAACCTCCCTGGAGGACAGTTCCCCCCCCCCCCCCCCCACCATGCGGTGAGAGGGACCCTCACTCTAGGGGTAGAAAAGGTCCTCATCTCTGCATACGTGCAGAGAGGGGTTGTAAAGATAGGTATACAGAAATGGAACAGAGAGACTGAAGGAGAGAGAGAGAAGGACAGAGAGAGAAAGAGAGAGAGAGAGAGAGAGAGAGAGAGGGAGGTTTCTTTCCAGAA